GTACCCCGTAAAGCTCGAGGTTGATTATTTCTACATCAGCGGCAGAGCTGGGAAAACGCTTTCCCGGGAGAAGAAAGAGAAACTTAGACCCTTTCGGAGTGTTTGCTCCGAGAATTGCAAAGGCTAATGATTGAAGTGGAGGCAAGTCTATTCGACCCGAGACTTCTCAAAACGGCAATTTAAATGTCTTTTCTTATTATCAATGATTGTATACTGAACACCCAGAGGGAAACTTGTAGATATTAGAATATATTGAGATATTCAGGTGACTTTCTTCAGGAAAAGTTAGATCTCTTATCTGATTGCGCTATACCTAATTGGTGACACTTGACGAAATTAAATCCACGAGCCATGTTTCGCCGTGTTTCGCTTGTCCTGCCAAGTATTCCAGATGTCGACAATTGATCCACTGGGGGTGTGGTGGACTTGGAACAGTTAAAATGGTCCACCCCCTTCCCTGACAAGATTTATAGATCGAGATCTCGTGAGATTTCATTCCTTCACGTCAAAATGAGGATATTCCAGGCTGGCACTCTCGCTGTTGCTCTCTCTGTCTTTACAGGAGCTGTTTCCGCTTCCGTTCTTCAGAGCCACACCTATGACTATATTGTAGTCGGTGGTGGCCCTTCCGGTATCATCAGCGCCGAGAAGTTCGCCCAGGCCGGAAAGAAAGTTCTGCTCCTTGAACGAGGTGTCGGACCAACGGTGTCCACCGGTAACAATGAGACCCTGCTATGGAATCACTCATTGACACCCATCGATCTTCCGGGGCTGTCGGCCAACATCGGCGCGCTCGATGTCTGGAACCAGTATATGTGCACTGATACTGCTGGCAATGCTGCCTGTGTGCTCGGCGGTGGCGTGACGGTTAACTATATGGTGTTCGTTCACCCGCCAGCCCGTGACTTCGACGACAAATGGCCCAAGGGGTGGAAGTGGAAGGATGTCGAGTCGGCTGCAGACCGACTCTACAAGCGTAACCCGGGAACCACCTTGCCATCTGCGGACGGCAAGCGATATGACCAGGGTCTTTATAGTGTGCTGTCCAAGTTCTTCGGCGGCCTTGGTTGGAAGTCGGTGGATATGATTGCCGAACCGAATGAGAAGCACCAGGTCTACAGCTACCCGTCCTGGAACGTGCAGAACCAGATGCGTGCTGGCCCTGTCCGCACCTATCTTCCCGATGCTGCCAAGCTAGACAACTTTCACCTTGCTCTGCGGACCAAAGTGATTCGTCTGGTCCGTTCCGGTAGTAAGGTCACTGGCGTCGAGGTTCAGACTGCCTCGGGCCGCTCCGAGATCATCACCGTTGCTCCCCATGGTCGCGTGGTGCTGGCCGCCGGCGCTCTGTCTACTCCCCGTCTGCTGTGGAACTCTGGTATTGGTGCCAAGGCCCAGATCGAGACTGCGAAGAAGAGCGGTGTTGTGGTTCCTCCCAAGGCTCAGTGGATTAACCTGCCTGTTGGTGTGGGTCTCAAGGACCACCCGATTTTCTCGATCATCTTCAACACCAACGCCTCATTTGGTCTTGTTGACTACGAGGGGGTCCTTAATGGAACCGACTCTCGCGATATCTCCCTCTACCGCAAGCACAGCGGTGTCCTGTCCCAAGGCAAGCACCGCATGATCTTTTTCACCTCGGAGGAGGTTGATGGCCACACTCAGTACTACCAGGGCTCGTGCGCGCCCACCGATGAGGGCGTGGTAACCATTACCACGTACATGACCCACGGCCTCACCTCGTCCGGTGTTCTAGGACTTGATGCCAGTGGAAAGACTGTCATCGAAAAGTCGCCCTACCTCCAGACCGCTGCTGACCGGAAGGCCGCCCGGACTTTTATTCACAAGATGGTCAAGGAGATCACTGCCCCATCCACCGGCTTTGAGCTTGAGACCTACACCAATGTCTCAGCCATCTTGAAGTCCCAAACCCCTGGTACGCACTACACTAGCACTGCGAAGATGGGTACCGATGATGGCCGTAAGAACGGCACTTCCGTTGTTGATACGAATACTAAGGTTTATGGAGTGGATAACTTGGTAAGCCCAGAATAATTCGCTTGCTCAAAAGACGACACTAACCCTTTTTTTCATAGTTCATTGTTGATGCCAGTATCCATCCCGACCTCCCGACTGGTAACATTCAAACTGCTGTCATGGTGGTTGCGGAGGCCGCTGCCGCTAAAATTTTGTCTAAATAGGTTATCTGTCGTTACTGAGGAAATAGGCCAGCAGCAAAGCTGGAGAATCTCGAAAGTTGTGAATATCCGCAACTCATCACACATTTTATTCCAAGGTTATATATCAGGATAGAGTAGTAAATCCCGTTAGACCCGCTTTTATGGCAGCTCATTCATGTCATTAATGTGGTAGTATATCAAGGGTCTACATCATATCAAATTAAATACGGAATATTTACATATAGCCCTTGATTGGCTATTGTATTGCCTTTTACATAGGTCAGACATATTATAGGGAATATACACATGCACACATCCCCTAAAAACGCATGCTGCAAGTTAATTACTGTTGACTGTAAGTGTTTACCCCTGAATTCCCCGGACCCATTCAAAGTCTAAATCATGACAGGGTTGACCTTCTCTCGACAAATTTTACATTCAATATTCAGATTAACAACCTTGAAATTGCAGTAAAATTAGTAAATATCTACATTTGGGTTAGTCCAGGGCGTTGGTAACCCCTGTCAATCACCTGAAGATATCCCACTCCGACACAATGATATCATCTGTGCCCAATCCTGCAACTTCCTGGAGTGCAAACAAAGAACTCACACTCCACTGAACTATTTGACATTTCAACCCTCTGTGGGGGAATTGAAATTGCAATCAGCGTTAATGTTGCCCACATGGAGTTCAACGTTCTTCTTACAGTTTCTTGGGGCGGAAAGACTGCTGATCCCAGGCGATCTTAGCCCAGAGAAGTATCCATAGATCAATCATTGGACATTCGAATTGATAAGGTTGGAACCTAGTCATGTCGATCCTGGATTCACTTTCAAGGTTTACTGCCTGCGACGCCATCAACAAGTGCCGGTGAATTTGGGATCGGTGCCCTCACTGCCATGGGTAGTGGCACAGATTACGGAATACGGGGTTTGAAGGCCAACAGAATATGTGGAAAGTGCATCTCTATAATGTTTGTGTCTCGACCAGGGAATCCGACTCAAAAATGAGCTGGAGTTGACCAATTAAGACGAAGTCATCGATCTCTTGGGCTCATTCTGACAATTAGAGTGGGGAGTTCCCCCTGATTTGTTCTACGATGTAGAGCTGAGTGGATGATCTACGAAGTGGCTAATGAAGATGAGCCGTTTATAAAGCTTATAGCGGAACTAACACTGTGTGCAGGACCCAATCTTATGAGGCGGCGCCTTCATTAGCCACTCAACATGAAGCTTACTTTTTGGTTGATGAAACAGGACTGGCATTGCTCCATTTTCTATCGGGCTCATTTGCGACACGAGGGGCCCCTCTGTCAAAGCACCTGTTAGCTCAGGAGTACACCAAACGACGTCAACAAACGAGGGATGGGACTCGTATCAATGCTGATCCCCAGACAACAGCTATCGTATATAACAAGAGACATCTTGCCGTGAAGTTTGGAGTCTAAGAACCTTCTTCCTTGTCATTCCTTACCCCCAAATCATCCCTTAATCTCGGTTTATACCGTCCATTCATTAATACCAAACAAGTCTTCGAACTTATTCCACTCATTAATTCAACAAGATGAAGTCTTTCGCCTTCTCTGCCGCTCTTCTGGTCTCGACTGCTATGGCCCTACCCACCAACATCCTATCAGGAACCACCGGCTCTCTGCCCTCCGGAGTTCCCTCTTGCCTGCCATCCGGCGTCATTCCCTCGGGTATCCCTCTGCCCGTGGCATCTATGATTCCCACTTGCTCGGGTGCCGCCGCAATGTCCTCGTTTTCCGCGTTGCCCAATCCTACCGGCGCCGTTTCCGACATGACCAAAGGCTCTGGCCCCGGCCAGGTTCTTTCCATCCTCAACCAGGCCGGAACCTCGAACTTCAAGATGGTGGCCGAGTCCGAGCTCGAGCGTCTGATGAGCAAGCTGCCCCTCAGCGCTCTCGAGAAGCCCGTTGGCCAGGTAGTTCAGACCGCTGACTCCGTTGACCAGCTCGATACCAACAGCGGCTCTGGTCTCACCCAGGTCACCGCTATCCTCGAGAATGGCAACGCTGCCTTAATCGAGCTGACTCAGGGAGTCGTTGACCTCCTCTCCAGCCTTGGCCTTGGCGAGGTTGGCAGCCTTCTCGGCTCTATCGTTGGCGGCCTTGAGTCCATCACCGGTAACATCAAGCGCGACGACCCTCTCCAAAACGTTTTATCCATCACCGACCTGCACAATCTTGCTGGCGGCAAGGATCTCCTCGTCCAGGTTGAGCCTACCCTCCTTGGTCTCCTTAGCGGTCTCGACTTCTCTACCATTGAGGGCCCCGTCGGCAACGTCGTCGCCATGGCTCCCTCCCTCTCTGAGCTCAAGTCCAAGATCCCCAAGATCCCCGGTGCTGACTTTATTGCTGTTAACACTGAGGACAAGGCTTCCGTCCTTCTGGTTAAGGTCGACGGCGCTGTCCAGGGCCTCCTTTCCACTCTCGGCCTTGGTAGCCTCGGCACTGCCATCGGCTCCATCGTCTCCTCCGTCAAGAGTGCTCTTTCCCAGTAAATATTATACCCTTTAGGGGCTCTGATCGTTCTCTTCTACTATTCACAAATTTTATATTGTATAGAAAGGGGATCTGACCTAGTGGTTCGCTTTGGAGCTAGTGCATGCAGCGATGATGTGGCCTTCCTACATACTTTTTCTTGAGCTTTATTTTGTTCTGTACATTGTATAACTATACCCTCGATAAATATTCTATATGTCTGAATTGAGCCAATCAAGTCAAAAGGACAAGTTCGGCTGTTAAGGTATTCAAAAACCAAACCAAAAAAAGACTGGTGATCTACAGTTGGTCACTCAGTGGTGGATTCCTCCCCAGTAACTCTCTCCACCCTGATCGTATGGATTTGATGCATCCTTGCACTGAGGGCTATCATAGTCTTGGACCGTACCCATCGGCCAAATAGGCACTACACAAATCTCGTTCGCCGCACAACCCCGGCACTCCTTCCACGTCGCCCAATCCAGATAACCAACCAGATTCCGAACAATCTGCACCGCAGACTTAAGATTCTGCTCCTTCCCAGCCTGAACCAAAGCTGAGCAGATTCTGTGAGCAACACCGTGAACAGCATGTGCCGCAATATTCCCACCTTCCGAAGACAACGGCGGTAAGAACTGAGTTGCACAACGCTCAATCTCAGCAAGATCATCCCGCTTACTGTAGTCAACAAACGGAGATAGAACACGCTCAATCTCGGTCTGCAGGTGCTCAACTGAATCAACGCTACCGGAAGCGAAGTATGACAGCTCCTTGCTGTACCGAGTCACGATCATATCCGTAATCGTCTGCCAGTCCTCGCAGACATCGGTAGGATTATGAGTCATGATTAGATTCGTGACTTCGGCACGGATGACAGCGCGCTCATCAGCAGAGAGGTTGGCAAGTCGGGGCAGGGTTGAATTATCTTGGAAGAGGTCTACATTGTGGGAGAAGGCTGTCACAAAGTGGTTGAAGTTCAGCGAAACTCGGTTTCCACCGATTCCGTTGTAGCGTGCGGTGATTGCGCGCATCCATCGCGACGAGTTGGGCCCGTTTCCAGGTCCGCCGTGGGGAGGTCCTCCAGGACCACCCGGGCCGTGGCGCTTTTCATCCTCCTTCTTTGGGCCATGACCATCGTGGTACTTGTCATCGCCTTCTTTGCGAGAACCATCACGATCGCCATGTTTACGGTTACCCCTAGGTCCACGGTGTTCCTCAGATTGCTCCTTGACCTGCGTGATTCGCACGGGAGTAAGGTCGCGCTCAAAGTGGCACAGGATAATCTCAAAGCCAGCTTCCATACGCAGCACACCGTCAATGCGATCCTCCCATTCATTGTCGGCCATTTCGCAGGCTAGTCTGGCGCGTTCGCTCTCTCCCCCACCCCGACTCGAGGGATCTCCGAATGAGCCATTGAACAAAACAGCATCTTGGGAATCAAGCGTGCCTTTAGATGTCTTGGCAGCAGACATACCGTCGATATACAAAAGGCGGAGATCCTTGGCTGCAGCGTATGTATGCAAATATCCAGCCCCACTATTATCAAATGCCTTGGGCGGGTGATCGCCCGGCGGACCATGGTGTTTCTCATCTGTCTCATGATGTTTCCGCTTTCGCAGCTCGCCATGGCCCCCTTCTTGTCGCTCGGTATCATTATCGTCGGGCAGTAGGTTCGGCGGGGGGCCCCGTCTCGGACGGGCGAAGACCATAGCGTGTTCGGGCTCAAACGCCAGCCACTCGGTGCCATTCACCGGGTTGGCCTCGGATGTTCCATGGTAGAATTGCGTACCGGCGGGAACACCCGCAAGGAAGAACGACACGCCATTGTGGTGCAGAGATGATCCCCACTGGCGCATTGAGTCTTGGATCACGTTGAAAATGTGATTTTCATTTTTGCTTGGCGTGTTTGGAGCCGTTGAGAGGGCGCTTGATAAGCTTATAACCCCGAATAGCGGGAGAAACGGTGGTCGCATTCTGAAAGAATGACTACTCTGGTAGCAGAATGTGAAGAAATGGTCTGATTTGGAAATCTTTATCAGATCGCAGATCGGCGGAAAAGGCGCAGTTCATAAGCCTACAAATATAGTAGAAAGCCGCGTCATCTATTCGCGGCTATCCGCTTTTTGGTAGTTCAGTCCGGCGCTAGGAGATAAGGTATGGCTAGTGGATATTCGGGCCTGGCCGAGTCAAAATAGGTAAAAAAGGGAGAACGACCTCGGAACTTACCATGAGAAAATAGTGATTATGGAATACCAATTTAATGTGTTGCATTTTGATATATCTATAACGTGCTTCAATTCAGTATCAATGGATATAAATAAGTAGTCAAATATTGAAAGCAAAGCTAGGCTAGGATACCTTGATTATATCCAACGGAAGCTATCTGTATGTACAAATATGTATCTAGGGTAGGCAAACGATAATACAGCAAATGATGAACACTGCCTAAACGATATCATTCCACAAAGAGGAAAAGATTGCCTTCTAGGTTAGAGTTCTTTGATATATTTCTATTTGATAACATTTATTTTACGGACAAAAAGTTATCTATATCCTCCTACAAAGGGCTTGTGATTTATCCCTACAAAACTGGTGACATTCGATGTGCAGAATGACTGGGAAGATGGAATTCGACAGTTGACGAAGCTAAGATGAAAGAACCCGCAAAGAATATGGGAAAACTCAACTAACAGAACGGGGGATACCACACGAAAAATGGGGGAAGCACGCCTAGCGTAGACTGAGCACGTAGCTGAATGAAGACATAGAGTCGTTGCTAGTTGAGTGTGATGTTACTTCGGCGTCCTCGCGACACATCCAGCACGGCATTTTAGGAGCCAGAATATTGTCCAAGCGATCACGTAGTCTTTAGCCTCACATAAGCAGTTTGTAGTCCAGGGAAATTGACTATCATAATTTGGATCTGGCATTTTTCGTATTCATGAGTGAGTCTAAGAGCTGAGGTTGGACGTGTGGGGTAAATATTGGAATCTGCTGAAGTTCAACGGGGTGTTGACGAGTGAAGCGTTGTGATCTCGGCTGTACTTAACCTTCATGGCCTGTCAATAGAGATGGAGAGGACCGCATCAGAGGGCCTGATGTAATACAAGATGCGATTGAACAATTGTGCAACTTGAATTCCATAGAGGATGTTATAGTCTAACAAATTGCCTCTCTTCTAGTCATAGCTATTAAAGCCCTTCGAATCACAAGTATCCTCCCCACATCTGCTCAAAGATCACAGCATCTTCCTCCTCTTCAATTCGTAGTGCTGTGAGCTCGTCATTCAAAACACGCACCCGGTGTACCATTGATCTGACAATAGCACAGAATCTTACGGGGTCAAGTGCTCGTCTGGGGAGTGCTAGCAGAACGTAGTAACCCTCGTTGATCAATATCCCTTCTTGCTGCAGAAGGGTGCGTCGCTCGGTACGCCGAGTGTATCGATCACGGAGGTCCAATAGGACCTCTAAGTGGGAGTCGCTAAATGCGCGGATTTGAAATCCCGACATAGCTATTCATGGGTATCTTGTTAGTTTGGGTGGCCTGAGATATCTTTGAATGACGTTTGGTGAGCCTGTTAACTTGAGAATGAGAAGATTATTGAGCGTAATGGTAAGAGAGAGCATGTAAACCTTGGTAATGATGACTTTTCATTCAGTTGTAGTCACAAGTGCCTGTTTAAGGGCGGTAAACTCACTGGTACGGTTGTAGGGTATCCTCTAAAACCTCGGTCAATCAAGGTAGTTTGAGATACTCTTATTAATCCAAGAGATAGCAAAAAGGAAACTAATGAGGAAGGAAAAGTCAAAAGGAAAAGACAATGAGGGGAAGAGGTTGTGCGAGACTGGAAGGAACCCAGCTTTTTTCGCTGCCAGTGTTTCCCAAATATTTTACACTGGAGATTTGCGTCAATCACGAAATGAGCAATATCTGAAGGCAAAGTGAAGTCAACGTACCTAATGGATCTTTCATATGTGAGTAAATAACGAAGATGGCAATCAAATCAACGGGTATCTAAATATAGTGTTGATAAATTTAGAGGGTCTTGATATTTTTGAGCACGCATCTGCACGGCGCGTGGACTTTCAATAAATATATAATTGGGATGTGGGCTAACTGTATCGCAGTCCGCTGGGGTTTAAGGGCCTTCTAACGAGTGAAGGGCTCTAGTCAGCTGTGGTTGAGGGATATTGACCGAGAGAACTAGGTCGAAGTTCATGATAGAATGTGAGATGTGATTGGTTGAGTGCATAACATAGGCTCTATGGAAATTTTGAGAATAGAACAAATCTTCATATCATGGGTTCCAGTCTCCCCACACCCGCTGAAAAGTTTCTGCATCTTCCTGCTCTTCAATCTGTATGTCTGTGAGCTGCTCTTGCAAAGCTTCCACCCGGCGTACAATTGACCCGAGAATGTCGCATAAGTTTTCAAGGCTAACTGCTATTCGGGGGAGTGCTCGCAGATTCCAGTAACCCACGGTGTAAAATGTTGATTCTTGCAGCAGACGGATGCGTCGCTCAAAACGCTGAATGTATCGGTCATGGAAGTCCATCAGGACCTCCCATTGAGAACCGTCCAGTGGGTGGATTTGTGATTCGGACATGGCTATATTTTATTAGCTTGGGCGACCGGAGATATTCTGAAATGGCGTGGTGTTGAGTGCACTTGCTCCTAGGAATGAGAGAGTTGGCCGTGTGAAATGGCGAAATAGCAATAGCGATCGTGGAAACATTTGGGATAAGGACTTTTGGTTGACTTGTGTTACAGCTACTAGCTGGGGGAGAGAAAGAGAAAACTCGATTCATGAACAACATGGTATTTATACCCTAAAGCCTAGCAAACAATTACTCTGTCTGATAGCAACTTTGAAGCAATCTACGATAGGATCATTCAAAAGGTCATAGCCACAAGTGCCTGGTTAAGATCTGAGAAGTTCACTATTATCGTGCTTGTAGGATTTAAGATGACGTTGGGTAGTATAAATGGATATGGGACAGGATTTATTGGAATCGGTTTTGAAGTTCAGCACCTTGTTGGCGAGCGAAGATTTCTGCATAGTGTCAGCTGCATATGACCTTCATGACCTGTCGAGAGAGATTGTGAGGACCGAATCAAAGTCCCTGATAATGTGAGATGCGATCGAACAATTGTAGAACTTGAGTTTCATAAGAGGTGCTCTGACAAATTGTCTCTCCTGCGGTCATAGCCGTCTAAGCCCTTCAAATCACATGTCTCCTCCCCACACCCGCTGAAAGTTGTCTGCGTCTTCTTGTTCCTCAACCGCTAGCGACATCAATGTCAAATCCAATGATTCTATTCGACGTATCATTGACCTGGCAATTATGCAAAAGCGTGTGGTGTCAAATTCGGACGGTTGGAGACTCAGTAACACCTCGAATGCCACGCGGAGGAATCGGGCTTCTCGCGAAAGACGGAGGCGTGGGTCCGCTGGGTGGCGTGGATATGGAGGTCTATTAGGGCCTCCGACTCAGAATCACTGAGCGAGCGCATCGGGAGTTCTGGCATTGATTTGTCTCGTTAGCTTTGGCACCAGAGATACGTCCAAGTGTCATTAGGTGAGCGCACTGACCGTAGAGCCAAGCAGCTCGCTACCTAAGATAGAACTGCTACAGCAGCGTGATTTGTGGGGGTAATGGTTCGAAAAAGTGACTTTCATTCAAAGAGTCCCGTGGAGGGAGGGGGATCACAGTAAGACTGCGGTTGTGTAGTTGTGCAGTTTCGTATGATTAAGAGATGCTAAGATCCACGGGTAGTGTAGATAAGAATGAAAAGAAGGAGGAGATAGAAAACGAAAAGGTAGAGGAGAAGGAGAGTGGGAAGTTAAGGCCCAGCAACATTAGACCTTCAGTGCGGTTCTTCCGTTTTTAAATCTTCCACACAATTATAAAGGAGCTATATATAAAACAAAAGCTACATTAGAAACTTTTGTCAATTACGAGCTAAGCAATGACTAGTTAACGGCAAACTAAAGTAAAGTGATATGAGGGATATCTTTTTTACGTGTCAGTATTGAACAAAGACTGTGGTAGTAGAATCAATGGTTGTTAGCTGAACCTACTTTTGATATATTTAGTGGCTCTAAATATACTTGATTAATGTGTATCTGGACGCTAGACGCGTGAGGCTTTCGATAAATTTATGAAGTCTTTCGGGGCAAATAATACAGCATATCGACCATTAGATTATAGTTAATGTTGAGGTTTCTGTTTATGGCCCAGAAAGGCTATATTATTATTGGACATCTTCCACTTACGTCAGTCAGGATTTAGTAATAAAAATGGAAAGAAGGCTGGATTGAAGCAGTCATTTCTCCCTTAGTCAACTAATCGTGGTGGTTGTTGCTGTATACGTCTCATGCAGCTATGTGAGAGGAAGAGTAGAAAGAACGAACGGCAAGTTAGTTGTTTTCATTCAACGTTGGAGTACTGGGAGTTTTTATAGGCTCACCGAACAAAGGTCGGCAAACCGAGTTAAGTCCTGAGGAATTAGGCACCAACTGAGCCAAACATTGATGTATAAAGCCCAATTAACCAATCCCGTAAAAGTTCACATAATCACCTATCACTAGGTAGAGTTTAATAAAGAAACTAAACATATTTTATTTCTGAGGCTGTTCCTAACTATACGACTTCCCTGTTATTGGGTACGTATGAAAGTGTAGATTAGAAGGCTCGATATGAGATAATATATTAACAATTGTTGGATATAACTATAATAACTCTTTTCCAGGAGAATCCATCCTAAAACTTAAATAGAGATCTTAATAAGCCCCGCAGTTGGCTATTCTTTCATACACCATTCGAATAAATCGGTCGGCACTAGGGTTATGTAGATAACGTGACCTTAGTACAAACAAAACATACACTCAATTTATGGTGGATCGTGAAACGTTTCAATAACAACCTTCAAAGGTGTACACCGGGGGTGCCGCCGCGACCGGGCGCCTCGTGCGCCCCTTCCATTTAACTACATTCTACCCCCTCGGGGATCTGGGCTCCCGGGACTCTCTCGCCGCAAGGCGCGTGAGCCCCCGGGATGTCTTGCCATGAAGTTACCTGGTTGATTCTGCCAGTAGCCATATGCTTGTCTCAAAGATTAAGCCATGCATTGAATGTGATAGAATGAGCCAGGAGTATTGATATTCAAAGCTACCCACAAAGGCATAGGGTTGTTAGCAAGATTGAAGTACTAAAGCTACGAGCACCCCCAAAGCAACATATCAAGATCAAAAACGTGTGTAAAAAGCAAATTGTTTCAAATTCATAATCCCAAACATTCCGTGTCTCGCAAAAGTGAAACTCGATCCTAAATTAAAACCGCTCAGCACTCAATGGCATTGCTTTGATGATTGAACCAACATGAGACTGCTGATATCCATTGCCTTTAGTTCGAATATGAACCAGGGCAGCGAAGAATGGAATCGGATTTTCAAGAAAGGGTGAGTTGATAGGCCATTGAAGTTGTAGGCGGGTATTGAACTTGACAAATCCCTCATTAGTCACGCCGCCATCAGGAATTTCACCAAGATCATCCGTAAGGAGCCCCGAGAACCAGCGGAAATTCTTGTAATCTTCAAATGAGCTGAAGTAAAGACTGCCCGAAAACATCTCTAAACACCACATCATGGTATCACTCGGCCTGGGCTGGGTTGAAAATTTCCCGCCGATACTAAAGTAGTCAAGATGGCAGAACGACCGCATGGGCTTTGTTAGCCGTGGGGGCAAAAGTACTCAAAACAAGAAATATGGTGAAACAAGGGACTGGCACGTCCATGGGTAAGCCCTGGGGAAATGGATAAAAGAGACGAAGGGATTAGGTTCGATCTGAATCACTCGGCATGGCTTGTGTGGATTGGGAGACACCAGAATGAGCTCTCCTGGTTATGATTTCCATCATATTGAGGATATTCATCATACTGCGTCCAAGTCCACGGTTAAGCTCGCGCTGAGAAGCACGAATATCATTCACGGTTTGCTGCATTGGTTGTTGACCTGTAACGGTGGTGGTATTGGCGGCAGTCAGTTCATCTTGGAGTTGCCCCAGCTGAGTTCCAAGACTTTGGGCTTGTCTACAAAGCTCCCCCTGCTCTTGCATGAGCTTTAAGTGATGGTTAAAAAGCCGGATGTCCTCGTTCATGCGCTGAATGGTTTGCCAATTGGTTCTTCTCTCAGGGGAAAATCGGAGAGGGTTAATGGGATCAAGTCTGGCTGTAGATTTAGTAAGGGTCGGAAGGTTGTGCATGTATTGGCAAAGGTGGTCACGTTCTGCCCAATGGCAGTTGGCGCAGGCTGAAAGACCGTTGATCCCGCGAACCGAGACACAGTGAGAGAACTTGCCGAACAGTTGTAGGCACCTCGTGCACTCCAAGTCATTTTGTTGACCCACCACTTGCATCAATGCCGCTTCCACGCGGGGCAGGCTATCGTTCATCTGTTTTTGAAACTCCTGGGCCGTCAAATTTATTCCACGCCGCAAGTATGGCTCTCGCTGATTGGACATTGTATTCAAAATGGTCAAAAATTCCCCCTGCAGAGTATCACCCTGTCTGGCCACTCTAAACGGTAGTTTGTGAATATGGACAGCCCACGGCCCAGGCGCTATCAGCATATCATCACCGTGTCCTGGAGGCGGAGGGAGGATGGTTCGTCGGCTGGGCGGTGGACCGTCAAGCCCGGAGTTTTGGCTGCTAGTATGAGTGTGTGGTCCTCAAAATGCTGACCTTGGGATGGGGATCATATCTTACTTGGTATCTTCCATACTCGTAGTCTTAAAGATAGCCCAAGAAGGCGGCTAGAGAGTGAGTCTATTCAAAGGAAGAGACACGATTAGTTTTTCGAATCCTGGAGAATCTTTTACAGATCAAATGAGAAGGGGACGACTTACCACGGGGTACAAGTGTGAATCTCCAATGTGTGGGTAGAATGAAAAACGACCTGGGGTGAAAACTGGATCTTCTGGCTAGGATTGAAGGAGAATGAGAGAAGTTTGATTGCAGCGCTCTGGTTTATCACCCCCGTTTGATTTTCCTTCTTCTCGGGGTCTTTTGTCTCTTCTGTGCATACAACAAACCACATTCAACGATTTGCCTAAATTACCTTTGGTCAACGAAGATTGCTTCCCCTAATCCACCAGTCAACGGTTCAATTTTGTTCCGCTGCCTCATTTTATATTGAAAGGCTAGAAGCAGTCCTATCGAAGGCCTATGTACACTGTGCCTAGGTTATTGCATACTTCTATATACGCTAATCCCAATCTGGCACAATATGTGGCTCTCCTGATTGGCTGGAAATATGCGCCTTCCCAATTTGGTCTTACTGATTTTACTATGTCTTAACCCGTTGATAGACACTTTTCTTTCGTCGACAATGAGAGCAACAAAGTCCCAATTGTGGATAGACTCGATTCAACGAGCAAATTTTGACCCGAGCTGGTAATTCCAGTTTAATATTATCAGATGACTTCGATGGTTACAATTGATGTTTTTTAGGTTATTCTTGGGTGTTCAAGACTGCACTTGTGAGATAGGGCAAGAATTACCCCTGTGGTTGATACCCCGTCTCTAAGCAGATGGTTTAAGGTGTCGGCAGTTTGAAACCTCAGCAACCAGACTTTCTCCGCAAGATCAGCGGGAGTGAAAAACTGTGGGGAAGCTTCGGAAAATTTTGCCATGTTCGTTACGGGCTGTATCATGGAGAACTTGAAGCTGAGAACATATAAAAATCTAGGATTTCCACATGGATCTTGGAAGATCGCTCAGAATAAGTTGATATAAGAAAAAAGCAAACGAAAAGGCAAGGCGGTCTGAAATCCCTTAACCTATAGCGGTATACAGCGCGAACTGCACTTGACCTTGTACAACATATATGATCGAATTCCCAAGCGGATAAAGTCCAAGCAGGGAATGATGAAATCCCCCCCTCCAACCCCCTTGACACGGACGTGTGGGGAGAAAGTGGGAGAAGCGGGAAAGGTTTACTCCGCTATGAAGCACGTAAAACATGGTCGGTAGCATCACTCGGGCATTGCACGGTTGGAAATTTTGTTTTTAAAGAGACTGTTCGTGCTATTTTGTGCCATCTTTCTTTTGACAGATTTTGAATTTTCCTCTTGTCGTGATAATACCCATCACGTATCTTCTCCGCATACCTCCAATAAAATGGCGAAAGCACCTCAAGATTTACAAATCGCCATTCTGGGCGCAGGCATGGGCGGTCTAACTTCCGCTCTGGCTCTGGCTCAGCAGGGATTCAAGAACATTGATGTTTATGAGAATGCCAGTGATCTCGGTTTTGTGGGCGCTGGTATTCAATTGGCGCCCAACATGGCCCGCGTTTTGGATGGACTCGGTGTCTGGAAGGGCATTGAGGCCGAGGCCGTAAATATCGAGGACACATCGGTGCGAGGTATGTTGCGATTTACCAATCAACAATGCCATGCGATCTAATCAATGTTTTCAGACGGCGCAACGGACACTGAGCACGCATATGTGGATCTACGGTATATTGAAAAGACATATGGATATAAGCACATGGTCGGCCATCGTGCATCACTAGCCACTGGACTATACGATGGCTGCAAGCAGCATTCCGCAATCAAGTTTCACTTCGGAATCAATGCAGATAACGTGGACTCCTTCGGCCCCCGGCCGTCATTCACAGCTAACCCCCGCGCCGAAGGAACTGCTCCGTTCAAGGTCGAGTGCGATGTACTTCTCGCTGCAGACGGGATTAAGAGTGTCACCCGCGTGGAAATGCTGAAGCGATTGGGTGTCGATGTCGGTGTCAAGGACACCCAACAGGCCGCTTATCGTATCATGATCCATAAGGAGCAAATCAAGGACGATCCCGAGCTTCTGGCCCTCATCAACAGCAACCGTGTGACCCGTTGGATTGGCGCAAAGCGTCACATTATTGCATATGCCGTCTCCAACAATACCATTTACAACCTCTCTACCACCCAGCCCGACACCAACTTCGCAGCCGCCACAAACGCTACCTACACCACCAAGGGCTCCAAGCCTGCCATGATGGGCGTCTTCTCCGACTTCTGCCCCATGGTCCAGCGCATGCTAAACTACGTTCCCGAAGGCGAGGTCTGTGAGTGGAAGCTGCGCGTCCACGAGCCGCTCCCCACATGGGTTCACGACTCCGTCGCTTTGGTTGGCGATGCTTGCCACCCTACCCTGCCTCACCTGGCTCAGGGTGCTGCCCAGGCTATTGAAGATGGAGCCGTTCTCGGTGTTGTTCTCGCCAAGCTCCCCGATACAACCCCCGAGTCTATCAACAAGGCTCTTCGTGTTTACGAGAAAGTCCGCAAGAGCCGCGCTGAGGCTTTGGTCGAAATGGCTACGGCTTCTGGTCGTGCTCTGCACTTGGGTGAGGGTGCTGCTAAGGAGGAGCGTGACAAGCAGTTCGCTGCGCTCCGCGCTGGCAAGGGCCCAGTGCCTGATAAGTGGGCCGATGCTGATGTACAGCGTGAGATCTACGGCTTTGACTGCACCAAGGTCGCCGCGGATAATTTCGATGAATACTTCTCGCAGATGTAAGCATTGTTCTTTATGTTTTTATTACATTTGACACGGTTTTTTCTTGCATATTGGATAATTCCCTTTTTGTATAAATATGGCCCTCGGACTACACGTCAAAGGAAATGAGACTATCATCGCACTTGCAACGGTTTTTGTCCTTGAAAAACATGCTAAACTATTTCATTTGCATAGGAATAGTACTCCCCGTCACTCTAAGCTTGCATAAAAATTGGGCAGTTGTGCTGTGTATATAATGTCCTATTAGATCAATAAAACCGGTCAGAATCAAGCATCGTGAAGCGCGCAATTTCAACTCCACATCCACGTCATACATAAGCACAATTCTATTCCCACGCTAATTACTAGCCGTTTCCAATATGTTAAATGCCCAATTTATCCCGGGAGTCCCCCGCTCTCCTGCAAATGGGATTGGACAATTGAATGTTTGCCGTGGAGATAAGCAAGGGAGTTGGGCATCTATTTAAGGCGATCTACCCTTGGTCTCGAATTTATTTCCTGTTCGGAGTACTGGCTATTCCAAGGTTTTATATTGCCTTCATATTCTTGTTAATATTCTACTCTCAGCTTGAAGCTGCCTCTACGCCTCTTTCATTTACCATTTCTTCAATCTTCCTCGGGAAATCAACATGTCCTCCGACATCAATTGGTCTCTCCGGCCAACTTATTCGCCGGATCAGTTAAGCCAATATTTTGACCGGATCAACTTCCCCCAAGAGTATCGGGAGTCGCCTATAGTCAAGAACGGCCCAGGTATCGACAACCAAGCCACCTTGTCTTTCTTGGAGGCATTACAACGGTACCAGCTAGCCGCGGTGCCATTTGAAAATCTCAGCCTCCATTATTCAGTGCACCGCAATATCTCCATAGATGTCCAGAGCATTTTTGAAAAAATCGTGAATCCCAAGTCGAATCGGGGCGGTTACTGCATGGAGAACAATGCCCTGTTCGGGACCGTCTTGCGCAGCTTAGGATACAATACTACCTCAGTTGGAGGTCGGGTCAACGAAGCCGTACAGCCTATGTCAGCATCAAAGAACTGGAAAGGCCCCAAATATCAAGGATGGTATGAATCCTGTCCCCTCTCGTCCCTTCGAACTCAATCTTGAATCCGCCTGCTCAGCATTCAACAACTAACCATACCACAGGAACCATATGATCAATATTGTTGCCATCGGCGAGCAAAAGTACCTCATAGATGTGGGATTCGGCTCCAACGGACCACACCGGCCTATTTCATTGGTACATGGTTTCGAATTCCACAACGTTGGGGAACAGTCTGCGCGGCTGATCTACGAACCGATCACTCAACAAACGCTTAAGGGTCAATCTCTTTGGCAGTATGAAATCAACCACGGGGACGAAACGTGGATACCCGCCTACTGCTTCACCGAGGTCGAGTTCCTTCCTGAAGATTTCACAATCATCAACTACTATATGAGTCAAAGCCGAGAGAGCTGGTTCACTTTTCACGTCGTGTGTGTACGAATGCTTCTAGATGATGAGGGTGAGACCATTGTGGGAGACTTGACGCTATTCAATGACACCCTGAAACGGCGTATTGGAGCAACGTCTGAGGTGTTGCAATCCTTTGCTTCTGAGGAGGAACGCGTGGTGGCCCTAGAGAAATATTTTAATATTCATCTCTCAGGGGCGGATAAAGCGAATATTCGCTATACTATCTCAGAGATTTTATAGGTTTGGCTCAAACCAGACGGGGTGTAGATTTTGTTGTCCGCGGTCCCGGGTTTGGGGGTTAGGGCATTCGCTGGATCATTTCAAATTGACAGGTATAGGATAGTTGATCGTGATATTGTTTATTATTCTGGTTTTGTATCATATCCATTAAACAACCACTGTGTATTCAAGCAAAGAGCACGGTCGTATGCCGGGGTATATAAACGCAATTAGGATGCAAATAAAAGTTGGACATCTCCAAAATTTGGGAATTTCGATTTGTTAAAGCCGTCCATAGTTAGCTACTCCAAATAATTTTTCGGAATCCTTTTTCGAAGAGTTCTTGTCGCCAAAATGGTGTGTCCTCTGTGTGTAGTTGAGCCGCAAACTAATTTGCCGATTTTGCCTATAAGCATCGGCGCGAACCACTTAAGCACAGATCCGTCCAACTGGATGTTGAAGCAGCGCCATGGTGTCCTTTCCAGATTTCTGATCATTTCAGATAAATGCCTTTTCCAGCAGTATGTCTACAACGTGATTCATCGATTCTCCAGGCTAATCAGACTGGTCACAGACTCCATCACCATTCCGCCTCTCCCGCCGCAACCCATCCACGCGCCGCAGTGGCCCTCAGTTCGCCCCCACACCTCGGTTTCTGCTGTCACAAAATGCAACACAGAAGGAAGATGATGACATTGATGTGATAGACGACGATGGACCATCTTCAACGCGTAAAGTCGCGCGTGACCTGCCTGCTACCCAGAGTGCCACCCCCTCGCGCCAACAACGCGACGTGATCGAGGACTCTGATGATGGCGCGGATATTTCACATATACGAGTCGGAGGGAGAGATGCAGATGAGCTACCAGATGATGCCATAGACAGCACTCCTCCCGATGAACCGGAGACTCAGGGCATCCTGGACGCTGAGTTCGACGCACTGTTTGCACCGGTCAGAGAGGGGAATAAACGGCGGCGTGTGGAGGGAGGGATACCCTTCAATCGAAGCAATCTAAAACAGCTTGATTCATTATTGTCATCACCACCCGAAAATGCGAATATTCCAGCCGATTCCATTGACTTGCCCGACAAAATTAGGCAAAGCACTACGGCATGGGATATGAGTACCCAGAGACCCCCGCACCAAGTGCACGTCCATTCGCACCAGCCACTTCAACCCAAAGCGATATAAAAACACCGTTCCGCAGTCGTCCTCGGTTTATGCTTTCCTCGACGGCAAAGCCTCCCAGCAGCCAGTCCGGACCCAAATTCAAACCAGACACACCGGGAATATCGCCGCCTGAGAGACGGAAACCGGCTTTTGTTTTGCCTCGCTCGCCGTCGCCGAATCCGGATGCAGAGGATATCCCTACGCCGTTCTCTCCCTCCTCACGCACACTTAGTCGACGTGGTCGAAACCGAGCTGGTGTATCCAATTATATTCCTGGCGGAATGGCCGCTGAGGTACGCGGCTGGATCTTGGAAATGGGGACGAAACGTGACCAGTTTCCAAAGCCCCCCGTGGCTCAAGCTTCAGACTCGCAGGTGGCGGATGCCTCGCTTGAAAAGCTACAAAGGTATCTCCTAACTGCGCGTGTTATCAATGTCAGCCAGTCAGCTCTGAGCGCCTGTGGTTCTATCGCCTTTCTTCAAGCAGAAGTGCTTAGTGGGAATCATGTGGAAGGGAAAAATCCCAGTGTGAGGTTGAATATCATGGTTATGGGACCGTCACGATCTAAATCCACTGTTCGTCAAATTCCATCGGATTCTGATGCTACTATGAAATCCCATTTGCAGAAAGGGGACGTAGTGGGGATTTACAGAGGGCTCAACTGGAGTTTGGAGATTGGGAATCACTTGTGCGAAAATCGAACACCTGGTCAGGTATCTGAACAGATCTCGGAATGTGGTCCATCTGAAAATGGCGGACACACAGGGACAAAAGAGGGCTGGCTCATAGCCATGGAATGGGACCTCATTGAAACAGCTCCATGAGTGACAGTGATTTATATCGATATAAGGAAAGGTGTATCTTTCTCCTTCCGTTATATCTCATAGATCTCCATACATGTACCTAGTATGGCTATGTGTGTCATGATTGATGATTTATGTCCTGGGCAATTACGAAAAAAAAGTTGAATTTGCCCATGTGAAATACATGGAGCTACATCGCGGCGTAAGGTAATCGAATCCCAAATCCCAATCGCCAACATCCATCAAGCCATAGCGAATGATTTGGGACCATCTAACAATGAATCATCCTGCAGCTCTTGAATCCGAGGTCGGAATTTTAATGACACTCTGTCGGGTATGCAAAACTCCTCTGCTTCGAGGAAAATGCCGATCCTTCTTGCTTCTTTGACATGCTCCTAGTCGTAGTGGTCACGCCTCGAAAGATACTCGATTACGCGGTCATATCAATAGCCATCGAGGAACTCTTCGAGGGGAAGCCCAAGTTCATCAAGTTTGCTTCCATCTCTTCCATCAGATCTTTAAATTCTTTGACCAACAAATGCTGGTCATCATGGAGGCAGTGCTCTGATGCAGCGTGGCCCCAATCAGGGATTAGCGCTTAGCTGAATCAGACAGGACATTTGCCCTCCGGGGCTATTTGGAATGTTGGCTGGAAACAAATGGTTAGGCCATTGAATCCCTAAGCTCCATATGTTAGTCAAACAGTGAGGGTAGGGATTGGTTACGTAGTATATTCGCTGAATATTTGCTAGATTTGTACAAAGTGCCACTCATTTCATCCTTCTCGTGTTCGAAATGAGCAAAGATCTGACATGGTGATTTTGAAGGTTGGAAAAGGGTCGAACATAGACGAATCATGAGCAGCGTAACAACTTGGGTATATTCTATATGCAATCGCAAGATATATCTAATGCAATCCTTAGTCCGCCACAGCCTTAAGGGCAGCCGCAGCCACATTGCATCCCCACCGGACTAGCTTGAGTTCCTCGTCGGACACAATATCAGTCTTCGCGACGACCTTTCGCACAAAATAGATAAGGCCCTTGGCAATGTGTGGTGTCTCCTTGACACGCAGGAAGATTTGCATCAAAGGCCCTTCATTCTTCTCAGGCTCATCTGGCGTGGGGCCCTTGGACTTCTTCTTCTTGGACTTTTGGGATTGTTGAATGATACTGATGATCAATACTTCGACAAATGTCTTAGTCTTAGGCTGAAGGTAGGCGAAGTTGAGATTCTTCAAAATGCTCAGTGTCAAGCTGCCGTCCATAATGAGGGTGCAGAACATCTTAGCCAGGTTGACCACGGACTTCATGCTCACACCGTTCTCCTCATCATCTGGATCGAAGTCGTTGTCCTCATCCTCGTCGATATCTCCTCGCTCGCCCATCTTCTTGAACATATTCCAGAGTGCAAACATAAACGACATTTTCATGCGTCGACCCTGCTCACCGCAAATCCGACGCGCGATCAGAGAATAGTATGGGTTGTGGGCCTGTTCCTCCATGGCACAGTGTAGGAGGACACGAGGGATTTCATACTCCTGCGCGCGCTTGAGACGAAGCTTCATGAGTCGAACATGCGCATCTTGGAAGTCGTTGGCAGACATGATGGCAACGAAGATCGACCGACGAACGTCAGTGTTCATGCGGTGGGCCCGGGCGAGAACTCCAAAGTCAGGCTCAGCATCGCTTTCATCATCTCCGACTTCAGGTTGGATCATTTGTACACCAGCCATTTCTCGCTGCGCTGTTACAAGAGGATCTTCCTTCCAGCTTGCGCCGACCAACCACCACTTGCCCTTCTTGGAGGAGTTGTGGATATCGTCGCGGGAGATGTTAATAGGTTCGGATGCGCGGATCGTCCGAGAGTTGTTCAAAGAACCCAAGATCTTGCGCATTTTGGTAATGTGTTCAGTGGTGATACCTGCACCGGCTGCGGCTGAAGCTTTCGAGCGGTTGTTCTTCAAATCCGTGATTAGGTCAATCATGAACTTTGTTCGAACAGAGAGGCGATCCTCGCCAGCCTTTGCGACGGCGGGTTGAATGAGCAATACGATATCCTTGAGTGCAGATGGGTCATCGAGTCGGAGTTGGGGGCCAGAGTCTGTATACATGTTAGAGAGCTGGCAGTTGTGTTATGAGTTGAGTATATCACTTACTCCGAATGACCTTGAGCAAGAGTTCGGTGTTTGACTCCGTGATCTCCTGCACGAAAAGACGAACGTAGTCAAACATCAAGGAAGAACCGATGACGTGGAAGTTGTAAAGTTGCGAGAGAAGAGAGACCAAGTTCGTAGCTTCTTTTCCTTGGAACTTTCCGCGCTCGTCGCCGTCAGCATCCAATGTTTCGACGACCGTTTGGATAATCTCCGCGCCAATGTCCATTCCCATGAGCTTATACAACGCCGCAATGAAACCTGCATGCAAAATGAGGAAGGTGTCCTGAAGAGCAGCCCTCTCACAAATCATGCCCATTAATAGGGTGATCAAAGTAGATGTGACATGCTGACGGGGGTAATCGCGGTAAAGCTTTTCGAACTCGGCAACAATCGAGAGCATATTAGCCTCGGACAGCTTATTGAGATGTCCCTGGGCCTGGCGCTTGAGACGTGTAAGAGATTCGCTTTCTGGGTCGGAACGGCCTCGTAACGAAGGTGGAATGTACTTTTGAGCGGTAGGTTCGACTTTCGTGACCGGGGCGATATAAGGATTTTCCTTCTTTTTTGGCTCTTTGCGCTCTTCCTCGTCGAACCCGTCGAAATCACTGCCTTCGGCGTCTGAATCATCGCCCCCAAAGATTTCCTCGTCGAGATCGAGATCTTCGGCGCTATCCATTTCACTATCGTCTTTTTCGAGTTGCTGTGCTTGCAGGCTCTTGGCCTTGAGTCTCTTGTTTCGTAGCCAGTCATCGGCTTCTCGTTTGCGCTTTTTGCTCTCATCCTCTGAGGCATCGCCGCCGCCACCACCCAGGTCTCCCAACAAATCTTCCAGTCCATCCTCCTCAAAGCCCTTTGATAGTTTACCTCCTTTCTTGAGGCCAAGCTTTTTCTCCAATGCAGCAATCTCGGCATCGTCTTGCGCCAGCTTAGACTTGACCGACCCTGGGATGTGGGTCTCGGTTTCTTTGGGTTCTTCTTCGTAGGCGTCGTCTTCTGACTCGTCATCCTCGTCATCATCTTCATCCTCGTCCTCGTCCTCGTCAAGGTCGATTTCTGACCCGAAACCAAACTCGGATTCAGACTCAGACTCGGAGTCTTGTTGAACCGCTGCTTTCTTCAGGATCGACTTGGGCTTCTTCGCGGCTTCTTTTGTAGATTTAGACTTGGCCTGTGGCGCACTAGGTCCCTCGTCGAGATCCATGTCGTCCGAGTTGAGGTCAATGTCCTCGTCCCCGATTTCCTCATCGCTGTCGTGCTGAGCCTGCTGTTGAGGTTTTTGCTGAGACCGCTGCTGGGGACGCTCGAAGGTCTTCTTGTTCGGCGGGGCTGCGTGTCGGGATTTCTTCTGCGTACGCTCATTTTGGCGACGTTCTTTGCGCGTGGCAGGTCCGTTCAGGCGACGCTTCTTGTCACCGTAGACATCACGGATTCCGAGCTCGGATCGTAGATCACGAGGCAAGGCTGTCGTATTATGCCGAGGGCGGGGAGGCATCTTGTTCCTCTGAGATATTTTTTCTGCTCTCAAAAGAGTTCAAATGTCGGTCCTCAATATCAGGTACCCCGGGCGGTCGGCAACTTTTTTCACTTTTCTGCCGCCCCAAAACAAAGGCGGAGAGACGCCCACAGCGGAGTTTATCCCCCACTGTTAGGTGTTCCCAGCTGTCAATTGCATATCGATCATCTGCTCCAGCTTTCAGATCCCTCAATTATCGCGCGCCTCACACAAATATCTCCAAACATGGCCCCACATTTGGGACACGATGAGGTAAATATTGATATCGGTGCTACCTGACCGCTACACCTCCGCACATGCGACCACGATCACCAGTTCCAAGCTATGTCACTAACACCGGCCACCTTTAGTTCTTCAAATCTCTCGCCGAACTGCTCTCCAAAACATCTCAGCAAGTCCACGGCTCGGTAAATCTTACTCAAAAGCCTCTCATCAATGTGCCCGGTGCCACTACCACAAACTCCCAACCATCTATCCTCATCCGAGCCACTGATGGAAACACCAATGCGCCGAATCTCAAGAATGAAAGCAAGGAAACGAGGATTGCAAAGAAAAGGTCTCAGAAAATCAAGCTCTCGACTATCGTCAACCCTGATGATATTGAGGCATTCTACGTTCGCTATGCCGAGGTCTGCAAGACAGGAATGTCGGGGTTGAAGAAGAGAGATCGCCGAGCCCGCAAGGCTAAGACCAAGGGCGGAGCTGCTAAGGTCACAAAAGCATAGATTTGCTCTTAGGTCTATTCCCCAGATGGCACCATCGTCTTTGTGTACTCGGCTCAGACCTGACACGCGATGTGTTTGATGGCTTCGTTTTCTCATGCATTAGCTGGCGTTCGATGGTGGTTATGGCTTCTTGTTCTCAGTTTTTTAAATGCGAGCTTCCTATCAAGTGTACATATTCCCCTACGCTTGTGGCCCACGGGCGCTGTGTTTGTTTATACTAGTCCTGTGGGACGGGAAAATAAATGAACAGCTTTTAGCATTACAGTTGGACCTGCCCCTATTTGTAGGTTGTATCACTAATATCTTCGGTCAAGTTATGTAGAGCAATTGGGGCTGGATAGATCTTTGTGTTCAGGCAAAAATAGAACAGTCTGGAGATTGAAAGAGCGTATTTGTATCAATTAGTTATTCGTTGCTGATATGACCCCCAGATTCCCTCAATAATACATGCAACGCTAGAATACAGAAATTCAGTAGAATACAAACCATGCCCATATGTCCACCCATAAATCGTGCAAATCAGTCCCGAATATCATGACAAGTAAAACATTAAGATGGTCTGTGTAGGGAGAGGGGAATACAAAGAGTAAGCATTAAATCGACCGTAAGATGGGGCCGAAGATCCAGATAAAGAAGTGAAAAGAGTAAGGAAATTAAAAGGTGGGCATTTCAGCCATCCGACTAGTCCAGATCCCAAGGGTCGAGTTTCCTGAAGATTTCAGCATCCTCATATTCCGAAGAAGTTTGAGGCTCCAGTGGAAAGCTGAAGTCATCCTCTGTGGCTGGATCCTTCTTTGTTCGGTGGGAATGAGAATGTGGCTCGCTCGGTGTGGAGCTGATGGTTGGGTGGGCAGTCGGGTTGATGACAATGCGCGCAGCGATATGAAGGAGAATGATGAAAAGATAGGCTGGCGGAATCAGTACTAGGGTGATAGCCTTGGAAATGAACGATGAGCCATCACGAGATGGTTGGTACAATGCCGAAGAATGAGGCATAGGAGAAACGTCGCGCTCTCTTGTGGCTTTTGCCCGGCGCCGGAACTCGGTACTCATGTGGTCGAAATCAGGATTCAATGCACTCGTCTTAGCATGAAGGTGCGGGCGCATGCGAGTATTCGAAGATGCATCGGTAAAACGACTAGGTGGATTCTTATTTCCTGTAGGAGCCATTGAGGGCGAGGTGTCCGAGAACGCATCTGCGAAGCGCCTGGGCGGATTATTCGAACTTGTAATATGCATTAATGGAGGGGTAGGCACGCTGGTCGGCTTTGGGGCGTTGTCGCTTTGGGGAATATTGAATGTTGGGAGCTGTGACGTCTTATAAGGATCCGCCGGCGTTGGTTCCGATGCAGAAATGTGAGGTTTTGTGCTCGAAAGATCGAACATATCTGTTGGGTCTGGCAGATCATGGCCCCCCACAGATGTAGGATGAGTAGAGACTGAATCTGGCGATTGCGGCTCAGCAGAATGGAATGACTCGAGGCTGGACGCAAATGAGGCATCGTGGTCAACCTCCAGTGTGGGCTCCGCAGCGGGTTGAACGGATTGAACTTCTTCCACATCCATGAGATTTCCTTCTACTATTGCCTCGGCTTCGACTGCACTGGTGGGTTCGGCATGGAATACAATTTCCTCTGGAGTTTCAGCCGCCATCATCGCGTCAGGCTCGACTGAAATAACGCTGTCCGCTTCAACTACAGCTTTGCTGAACGGTTCGGCTTGTAATATAGCTTCTGGCCCAGATAAAGGCTTGGATTCAAGCTGCGCTTCGGCTTTAAATTCAGGCTCTAATGCGGCTTCAGATTCATGCCCGGCTTCAACTCCACCGTGGGCTAGAATCTCAGGTTCGAGTTGGTCTGCAACCTTGAGTTCCTGATCAATTTGAAGTGCAGCATCGGTACTTGGTGCGTACTCTGGCTTGAACGCAGGTTCACAGTCATGGTCATCCTCTGCGACTGCTGTGGCCTCAAATTTTGCAAGGAGGCTCGTAAAAGTTTGTGGTATTTCGGTAACAGAGCGCCTAGGAGGCCCAAGGTATGGGGAAGGGCTCGAAGCCTCAGCAGGAGAGTGTTCCCGGTCATTGGGAATCGCCTCCAAAACTGTGCTGTTCGCTTTGTTGGAAGTAAAACAACTGTCATCGGTTAGGTTTCCGTCTGTGTCATCTCCAGTGCTTGCGGAATCGACCCAATCCGACCTGATTGAAGAGGGCGACGATGTTTCTTGCGGAGGTTCTAGAACAGTCGGTGCCCTTTCTTTCCGGTCCTTAGGTTGCCAGGCCTTTTTGCGCCGAGGTGCCATCGCATCGTTCGGGAGCTCGACACTGAAAGCGCGTTTGAAAGGACATGGCGTGACCTCATACCGAAGTATTGTTGGCAAGGCGGTCTTTAAATCTTGCACCAAACTCCGGTCGTCTTCCGTCTCGTATGGTAATTCGATGCGATAGTATGTAAGAGGGCGAATGCGTAAAACAAATTTCGAGACCCCATCGACACACCAACACTGGGAGTTTTTCAGAATCGCATGGACAACACTTCCACATTTCAAGAATGCCGTTGAGCCATGGACCTTCTCTAGTCTCAGTGGCGCTGTCGCGACCGTTCTTTCAGTCGCAGAGCGCCAAGGGAGTGTTTCGATGGTGTCAACCGGGTAGTCAAAGTCGGATGGTGCAGAGCTGGACGGAATAGGGGCGAGCGCTCTTGGGGAGAAATGCACAATTTTCGAAGATGGGTGATAGAAAATTACATGTTCGGGGGTATTCGGCACGCTCGAACGGCGTTGCGCCAGTGGATTTAACTTGGTGGGAAGGGTGAGAGAACGGCGGAGGGATTGTATCTGACCTAGCTCACTTGTAGACTCGGGCATGGTTCATGAATGCGATAAAAGATATAGGAGAGTATGTAAAGAAATTAATGTACAGACATGTTTGTACAAGATACTGCAAGAAGCCAGGGTATCCGATGCAGGAAACGCAGAGAACGGGGCTTATCCGCAATGATGCGCGGGGAGACGCACCGTTGCCTCAGGCCTACATCAGGTGACCATGACGCAGCTTTCAATGGAGGCCAGGCATCCACAGTTATTTCACTTTCACTTTCAAGAATGCATTGCTAGCTCCTTAGCTATTTTGACACCTTTGACGTTCTTCGCAGTGGTATTTATTTGGATCTTTTACAGCCGTAAAAGCCACGATGTCGAACTTCGAGCCAAATGCGGTGATCCGCGGCTTCCAGCTCACAGTGGTAGGAAGTATGTCACCCTATGTGTTTTTTTTTTGCTATTTTCCGACCATTCAGAAGGACTGGTTTGAAATACCTAGGTGGATTCCTGGCTACACAAGAAATTCTATCAATGTCTTGAGCTGTATAACGTCGGAGTCGGCTTTTGCCAAGACTTTGATCAAGGAGCTCCTTGCACAGAATTTGGCCAGCCAACTATTCTCATTTGCCTTGGAATGATCCCCTGGATGGGAGTGTATTAGGAGTACTTGCTAACCGAGGATTGCAGCTGTTCGTGCATTATCGAACCCTGAACTATTCAAGTACGACCATTTCCGCCAAGCAGCTCTCGCGGTAGGCATCGGCATCGTGATCCAATTGATCATTCAAATTCCAGTATGTTTGCAAACTGTCCTATGCTCGTTGGCATTTTTTTTCTGACTTGATTCAAGATCCTTAGCGTAAAATTCTCCATCTACGTCTTATCATGGGTGATCAACCTGGAGCAGGCTGTCTGGGACGACAAGCTTCTCAATGGATTGGAATTCATGTCCAAGTCCGTTCTTCAGGTGCCATTCTTGCTCATGACCCTGATGCGATATGTGACGCCCACGCTGGATGAAATGTAAGCTCTCGTGGTAATGAACTCCTTGACAATTTCCGCTGACCATCTCTAGCTTCATGCAGTCCATCCAATGGGTAGACATGACATACATCCAGAAACATAAATCAGAAGATCCTCGTCACCTGCGCTCCCTATACTACCCCAACCTTGTCCAGTACTCCGCCAAAGGCGGCTCCAGCGTTTCTCGGCCAATTCCCGAAGCACTCAAGTCATTCTTCAATCGCTATGCAAAGAAGATTGGCATGATGCTTGGCATCTACCTTCTATCAATGGTTGTAGTCATTGGTCGGTTCGTTATGCCCGCAGTGAGTTTTTACACATTCCGAAACCATGTCGGGTCTACCCCCGCGGCTGCCATTTTTGGCGTAGGCTTGATTCTGCCGAAGCATTACATTGTCACATTTCTCCACACCTACTTTGCTTCGCGCAGTCTCATGCGTGAACTTGTAAGTCCAGTCATCCTCCCGCACTTGGGAATTATATTAACCTCTTCTAGCTCGAGCCCTACTTTTGGCGCATTAAGTTCACTCCCGAGCAAAAGCGTCGGTGGTTCCGTGACCGTGAAGGTGTGCTCTTTGGTTTTGCCTTCGCTTTCACGGTTCTTCTGCGCATTCCATACATTGGTGTGCTGATGTATGGCATTGCTGAGGCATCTACGGCGTATCTTGTCACCAAGATCACCGACCCGCCTCCACCTCCTGCTGAAAGTGCGAACTTTGCGGAAAGCCAGGTTACCTGGAAGAACAAACACGACTTCTTGCGTTTGTCTCTCGATAACCTTGACAAGCTCAATGTCGATACGGATGACCACGAGGACAAGGACGCTGGCTCCCCCGGAAAGAAGTTTACCTGAGAGCCATTGGCATTTAGACTTCCACCGCAAGGATTTCATTCGAGAATTAGATATGACCTTGGAGATTGCACATATAGCATGCACATCAAGGCATTATTAACATACAAGACTACCATTCCATGTCTTTATTGACTTTGGAAGCAGCCTTATTTACAAAATACATTTCACAATTCATTACAAGGCTTAGTATAAGGATATATGGAGCTTATCAAACCGACAATATGCGAGATAAAGCGATGATAAGCTCGATCTCCAACGCTTCACGTAATTCTTCATTGCCTACCGTCTGCGGGGTAAGCCGTTATCATGAGGGGGGCCATGTATATATGGGGGTTTCCCCCCCGAGATTTGTACTCTCGGCATATAGCTACTACCACAACATTAAACAAAGCCTGAAATCACTGCAAATATGGGTATCAAGGGAATTCGTACTGCTCTAAAGGTCGACCTTGACAAGCCTGCGCGTGAACAGTCCGGCTTACATGTATGTTATTACATTCTTCAAGTCGTGAAACATTGCTAAGTCCCCAATAGAACAGATGGCATCCAGATGGTATGTCAAGCCTTGATCATGGCCGACGGCATAATATGCTAATTGCACCTCTCGCAATCTCCAGTTCCGGCCTATGGAAAAATCGCCAACAATGAAGTTGTCAAGATCGAATGTCTCGATTGGACCGGAGGCCAAATCGGAAACAACGACTCAGCCGACGACATCAAGAATGTAGACCTAACCCAGATCCATTACCTATCTGGTCCATTCGAGATCGAAACCGCGGAGCCCGGGGATGTCTTGGTCGTCGAGATTCAGGACGTGCAGCCATTCGAAGAGCAACCATGGGGATTCACCGGAATTTTCCACAAAGAGAATGGAGGGGGTTTTCTAGACCAGCTGTATCCTGAGGCGTATGTTAATAGTCATATCCTGACATATATCGGTACTAACGGGTCTCATAGAGCCAAGGCAATTTGGGACTTCGAAGGCATCTTCTGCTCATCTCGACATATCCCGCATGTTCGGTTTGCGGGACTAATCCACCCTGGAATCATGGGATGTGCTCCATCAGCTGAAGTTCTGGCTGAATGGAATCGCCGAGAGGGAGAGCTTATTGCAGCGAATACTGTTGCTGATCGAATTGTCGCTCAGCCACCGAATCCCCAGAATGCCCATTCTGGCACTGCTACCGATGAAGTAAAGAGCAAGATCGCCAATGAGGGTGCTCGAACTATCCCAGTGAGATACTATCATACAACGAAAGTGTACCATAAACTCATATGTCTACTAGGGCCGCCCCGAGCACGGAGGTAATTGCGATATCAAGAATCTCTCCCGCGGATCGAAAGTATACCTCCCCGTCCACGTACCCGGCGCCAAGTATTCTGTCGGAGATCTGCACTTCTCCCAAGGCGATGGCGAGATCTCATTCTGCGGAGCCATTGAGATGGCCGGTGTCATCACTCTGAAGTTCTCAGTCATCAAGAACGGCATGGCGAAACTAGATATGAAGTCACCAATCTTCCATGCAGGACCCGTAGAGCCGCAATTTGGCCCTGGGCGGTACCTAACGTTCGAGGGATTCTCGGTCGATGAAAATGGCAAGCAACATTTCCTGGATGCAACTGTCGCTTATAGACAGACCTGTCTCCGCGTTATTGAGTATCTCCGACGCTATGGCTATAGTGATTACCAGATATATTTATTGCTCAGCTGTGCGCCGGTGCAGGGGCATATTGCCGGCATTGTGGATATTCCAAATGCGTGTACCACGCTTTCGGTGCCGATGGATATCTTTGATTTCGATATTCGACCTGAGGCGGATGTGGTCAAAAAGGAGATGGCGGCTTGTGCTTTCGTCACAAAGTAGGGCGCTTGGGACTGGAAGGGGCAAGCTGAATATTTCGATGTTCACTCTATTTGGATGTTTTGGTTGATCTCTTGATATGTAATCCAAAATATATGATCAACGAGGCTGAGGCATTATCCAATATATTCTGACAATGGCCAATGTTTATCAGCATAAATTATCACCTACAGCTACCTAGGTAGTCGTAATACTTCGATTTTCCAGAACAGATGGGTCCTTTGACAGGTTATACTTAAAATATATAATTTGTACTTTTTAGGCAATGCTCTCCCTTATGATTTGGGTAAATACACTTTAAGCCTGACATGCTGTACCACAGGAGTTTACCATGCAGAGGAGATTACAGTATGGACTTCGCACAAAGAACAAGGCAAATTGCCTGAATCCTGAATGATGTGATATCATACATCATGGGTCATTGGTGAACGAGAAGACCACGTCGTGAATCGTGATGGAACAAAAGAAATATGAAAATGAATCAATTTCAGACCGTTCAAGAGAAGAACTTCTTGGCAGCGGCCTTGTCCTTAGCTTCTCGGTTCTTGACGGTCTGCTTGACCTTGGCGATCTCGTTGATGATACCAGCATCGCCAGGAGCCAACTTCTCCGCCTCCTGCAGATCCTTCAGCGCGGAATCCTCCTCCTTCAACCCCTCGTGAGCAACAGCACGGCGGTAGTAGGCCTTGGCCCTATCGGCATCCTTAGCCTTGGCAGCATCAGCGACTTGGAGCGCATACGTGGCCCAGTTCTGGGCCTGGCGGAACTTCTCGAGCTTGTTGCCGAGCAGAGAAGAGTTGGAGTGCAGGGTGAATCGGAGTGCCTTCATCTGTTCGCCGAGCTCCTTGGGATCATTCTCTTCGGGCTCGGGGAACTCGTTCAAATAGCGCAGACCCTTCTGGTACTTGTCGAGGCCCAGGTTGAGATCACCACTCTTGAAAGCAGTGTTGCCGAAACCCTTGAGGTCGGAAGCGATCTTGAAGCAGAGAGGCGCAGTAAGCTGCTCGCCCTGGTGGTCCTCAGTGAAGTCCTCGTATGGGTCGCCTGTCGCATCCTGTTGGCGCTTGGTCGCGTTCTCGTAATCCTCGCCGGAAAGCTCGCCGCAGTCCACCACAGTGACGTTCTGGAAGGGCTTGTCGGACTGAGTCTTCATGTTCTCGATCTTGCGAATCACACTCTTGCCGTTGATGACCTCACCGAACACGACGTGCTTGCCATCGAGGTGGGGAGTAGGGACGGTGGTAACGAAGAATTGACTGCCGTTGGTTCCGGGGCCGGAGTTGGCCATGGAGAGCAGGAAGGGACGG